TTGAATGAGACCAGCATAGCCTCTCACCTGCTTATGGTCTTGAAAGAAATGAAGTTTGTTTATGGGGCACTGGCAAAGGTTCCTTATGATAAGCTAAGGAAACCAGCCAGAGAATGTTTACTATCTCGAGAGCTGTCACCCAAAGAAGCACTGGAGATGTTACAGAAGTGTGTGTGTGTCAGTCATATGTGACACCTTTTGTAAAAATGGAACAAATGAGAATAGAGCTGCAAAGTTTTGTTGTTTTCAGTGTTCCAAAAACATATAAAAACCCCTCTAAATTAAAAAAATATATATAGACTGGGTTAAAGCTGCCTTATTAAGTTAGGTTGTTTATAGAATGTCTGCTTATTTGAACAGTGAATGTCTTTTCCTGAATCATTTAGAGTTGGATCCATCCCTAAAGGGAGGGGAAGACTAGGGAAATTTTGCTGGCAGAGCTCTCTACTTCTAATCAGACGTGTCTAACTTTCTTTACAGAAGTCACTGTCTTCCAGAAAGTAACAAAAACCCAGTGGATCAGACTTCAAAGGCAGGCTCATCCCTACAAAAGCAAGACGGCCAGACACATGTTGACACCATAGGGGAATATTACACAGATTCCAACACGACGTTCCTTAAACAATTCAAAGTTATTCAAAACATTAATTTCATGACAAGCCTTGCTTTAAAGAGATTATATAAGTTTCATCTGTGTATTTTCTGATTTACTTTCAGATAACAAAGGAATAGGGAAAATGAGCAGAGTCTAGTCAAAACGTAAGAAAAGGTAGAGATGAAACAAACCCAGGCAAAATTGGAAAATAAAGGCCTCGGTACACTCAGTAAGCTGCTTAAGCTTCTGAGATAAGACAGGATACGCGTAGCAGGGAGGTCAGAAGGCACCACTTCCTTTGACAGGGCCTGGGAACCAGAGCTCCCCGTCTCCAAACACGACCCAGAGGAAAGTCATGTTAAGAGGTTGGGACAGAGCTCATCTCCTGAAGGATGATGCCATTTGAATCTACTCAGTCTGCAATAAATCAGTTTTCCTGGGTAATGACATGACAATGGATCCATCTGCCTGCTGGGGCTCCATGAGTGATGGAAACCGTTATGTTGCTTTACAAAATTGTAGAGTAACTAATTGCAAATCAAACAAGTTACTCCAAACATCTAATTTAAAAAAAAAAAAAACAAAAAAAAAAAAAAACAGGCTAACGGTATTGTTAAAGGCATTCCTGAAGGGGCAAACAGGGTGAAAGGAGGGGGGACAGAGACAATAACCTGAAAGCACCAGAGGGAGAGGAGGAATCTTCCTCACTAAACATTCCTTTCTAATCCACCATAAAGATGGCAAAGAAAACACTAGCCCTGAGGTGCCGTGAACTAAGCCAACGATATAGTCTGTCCCTTTGCTATGGTCTTTCTCTAAATACATGCCTTGGCATGTACGTATAGTTCTACTGAATTATATAAAATGCATTTCTAGCCTTTATGTAACAAAAAAGCAGTTTTTCCGTTTATTTGTGCAAAGATACACTCTTCCTACACTATGCTTTTTTTTCAAGCTATGTAAGCATCTTTTTGTTTCCAAAACTAATCAGAGTAAGCAATGTGTTAGATGGGTGTTACTAAGGGTGGCACGCTGTGCCATTTTCATAAATGTGCCTTATATGTCAAAAAAATACTTAAAATAAATGTTACTTTGTATTTTGTAATTGACCTATATCACTTTATGAAGCTCTTACTGTTTCTGACACTCTTGCTTCAGCCCATCATCACAGCAATGCTCCTCCATGAAGCCTTTTACAGTTGTTTTTAGGAGCGTTGGACTGAGTAATTTGTATGATAAGCTCAGCAGATGCACAGTTTCACCAGGTGTTTGCTAATGGCACCTCCCCTTTTTCTCCACCGTGGGGGAGGTGCTCTGCAAGGCAGAAATTCAAGTGGGTACGGCAGCTCCAAGGCGGACCTTTGCGTAACTAGGCGGCGCATTGGATGAGCAAGCCCTTAGGGATCTCCGAATGGCTGCCACAACAAATTCAAGGATTTCTCAAACATGCACGTACGAATCAAAGCAATACTCTAGGTATGTTGATGATGATATCATGACATGATTTAAAGCTCAAATAAGTTGATTTTACATGATACTCCCCTCTTTAAAAGAAAAACAGCTCTCAAAACTGTCTAGCCAGTCTATTCCTTATCAAAAGCCCTCTTTCATCATGCTTTAAAAGGCTGGGAGTTGCTATGGGGTCATGACTAAACACCCACTATTTATTTGCTGCCTCTGCTCCTGAGGCCAAAGATAAGGAATTTGTAAAATAAAGAGGACTACTGTATCCATGTGTCTAAAACAGTAGAGCAGGTCCAAATTTATTTCTAGTCAGTTATGTAGATTTGGGAAGAAATAGCTGTTTGCCGTATGTGATCTGATGCTGGACTAAAAGCCTTAAGCCTGAGCTTGGACAACATGCAGTTAGAGAAAAGAAGACCTGGTAGCTGTTGCGCTGTGAGAGAGGCAACATGTGCAATGAAGCCTGTGGGCTACCAGCTTCATTCCTCCACAAGCTTGTCTCTCACAGTATGGGGGCGACTGACTGCTCAATGGCAGCACCTGGTCCTGTGCTTTCTCTTTGTCAAGATCTGACTTCACTGGATTACCATCACAACATCCACCAGCTGTCCTATACGCAGCCCCTCCCGCCCACTACCTCCTCCATCCCACTCAGCCTCCCTCAAGCCAGTCCCTACCCCCCCCCCCAGTTCAATCCCTCCAGCTGGATCCTCTCTGAATGACACCCTCTCGATCTGCCTAATTATTACTCCTCCAGCAATACCGCAGTGGCCCTCTTCACACAGCATTCTCAGCAAAGTTGAGGGCCAATGGCTCTTCAGTTGGACTCCCTGACTGCTCACCTTGAAGGCCACACTATCCATGACACCATCAGCCTTTCACTGTCAAGTTCAACAATCTGAGACACTGAAGGATAAAAGAATGAGAATACGTGGGGCTCGGCGGAGGAGGCTACGCATGTGATGGAAAAAAAGTGAGTCATGGAAAGCAGATCAGGATAACTGGTATCTTAGTGTTTGAACGTTGAGCAAAGAAGTTTACTTGAACTTTATGCACAATATAGGATTAGCATGGGTTCTATTGTTTCTTCATAAATTTGGCTTTAGGAAGGCACTCCAAACTGTTATGTCTGTTTAAACTTGCAAACTCTTTTGTGGTTTTAAGCTGCAGAATGAATTAATGCATTGTTTCCCCTTTGGTATTGGACCGCAACACCACAATACCACCAACAACTGTACAGTGTGTCGGAAAATAAAAAGATGTGTCCATCAATATTTGTCTACAGCCTTTGGTAAATGCCACCATCACTAAAAAGACAGGTCAGAAGGCTTCTTATTTCAAACAAAAGAAGTTATTTAAAGTATTTTCCGTCAGCTAAATATGATATCGTCCTAACTGGGAAAGCAACAATAGCACCAGCCATACCCACACAGCATTTTTGTTACTAGTAAAGTCATTTCCTGTAATGGAAACAAAATACTACAATAGCTTCGAAACAAGACATATAGTCTCAACCAAACAATGTGTGAGGCTTTGAAGCTCAGTTGTACTTTCTGAGTTGTTTCAGCTGTTATTTTTATTAGCAAATAAAAACCTAAATCTGCTTTGTTTTCATTTTACTTCATGTTCTTCTCATTTTTGCTGTGGCCTTTCTTCTCTCCTTCCCTTCAACCCTGTGCTGCGGTGCCAAGTTACAGCCAGGTATCTGGGGGAAGAAAGGATCTTTTCTGCTGTTCTGGATCTCCTGTTTCTGCAGGGTCTCATGGGAACGGGTGGGGTGCCACCACCACTCATACGACTGGTCTGACCACTCTCATGTGTCCGTGATGTGCTCCACTGCTCTCCACAGTTAGGGGGCTCTTCTACTGTCTGATATTTGACGTCCCCATCCATAAGAAATACTTTGCCACTCAAATCAGGAGATATTCTTTCTTAGCACACAACAATTTCTTACTGTGACTTTAGTCCTTTGAAATATGCGCAAGTACATTAGAACAAAAGACAAGAAATCTGTGTGGATAAAATTATACATTTACAAAATGATACTAAAGCGTTTTGACTGGAGGTAATGATTGATAAATTGTGGGTAATGGTTACTTGTTCACATGCAGCCAGGTTACACATTGGCCAGCATGCGATGACTACTACAGACAGAATATAAGACTTTACAGAGCTATAAACCACAATAACATACATTCCTGCAACAAGTGCATTTGTGGTTTCAGAGCAACTTCGACCTCTCCAACTTAATAAAGTGAAAATACAAGTTGAAAAAATGCATTTGTTGTTTTGAAGGTTAGCAGCAGGAAACCCAGGGATTTTATTTTACCACTGTATCACCTTCATCTGAAACACTCAATGTTTCTTAAACTAAAGATGAAAAAAGAAAAAAGAAGGGCCAATGACCCCCAGGCAAAACACTGTAGGCTATTTAACTTGACTATTGCAAAGGGCTCCCACACACCCCCACTCTTACCAACTGGAAAAACAAAAAGCCTTATCATTGTCAGAAGATCCAAGAGCTCAACGGAGCATGGAGCAGGAAACTGAGACAATTCACCAGAAAGTTCAAAAAGCTTTCGAACAAACTAAATAGGTCCACACATTAAAAATTACATCTTCGTAGAAGAAATAAAGTAAAGTTTAAAAAGATTCAGCAAACCCTTTAACAGGTGTAAAGGATGAAACCTTTTAAGGCTTGGTGATGCTATTAAGTGATTGCCTAATCAGTTAATTGGACCTTGCAGACAGACAAAAGGCTATGACAAGATTTTAAAATGATATGAAAAGATTTTAAGACAAAAAACAAACAAACACTTTCTGGATTTTTGAAAGAACCATCTGACAAAAAAAAAAATCCATTCTTACAAACAACCAACACACTTGAAAGCTTGTCATCTGTGTCATCTGCTTGTCTGTGTCTGTGTTATGTTTTACTTACATGCATCTAGCAGGGGAATCTATGCATGTCGCTCCATTTTGACAGGGCCTGTTTTTATCCACACAGCGGAACCCTGTAGAATTTCAGGAAATTTGTTAGCAAACCACACAGCTAATAAATCTTCATGCCATCCAGCTCAGATTTTAAGAAGTCCCCTTTCCTGACTAGGATCTGAATAATGAAATAAACAAAAAAATATTTGGATTTTTTATTTATTTATTTTTTTTTATATCACAGCTATAGAAAAAGAAAAGTGAGCCAACAATTCAGAGGACTCTGATAGATTCACATGCAGTGATTTCTGAGTGCAGGCTGGGACACTCCCGCATGTTTGCTGTTGACTTTGTCCCAAGCAGATAAACTTTACTATTTCCTTGATGGCGGTACAAACTTACAATCGTTAGAATTCATAAAAGAGCTTTCCTTGGATATATAATTATTCATATTTACCAGACTTCACCCAGACCCACAAAAACTATTTACGATGCCTCTTAAACTCACCTCCTCCACAATTAGGGTTTAGAAGCGCAGCATGGATAATAAATGACCTATACTATAAAATGAAAATAGTTTTTCTTTAAGACATGAATCTACTTTAATTCCCAGGAAGTAAAATTGCTGCTCATTAAAAAGATTGTGCAATTTAATTCTGTTAACTAGCATGCAATTATCTGTTGCGCTTCTGTTTATTCCAAGAAGTACAAGAAAAGTTAGGCAAGTTTTAAAACAACATACTACTAAGATAATGAACAAACTAAATCATAAAAAAAAAACCCTAATACAATCTTCTCGTAAATGAGCTTGGTCAAGAATAGGGCAATTACCCTATAATGGGGGCACCGGACAATGGGTTCGCTGTCCTGACATGCCCAGGCTACCTGTGGATTTAAACACACTTACACATTGTGGGCTGCTGTGAAAGATTTTTTTTTACTCACCTTCACCAATATGAAAGCACAATAAAAACGAGAAAATAATCCATTGCATATTCCCTTCCATTTCTGTGGAAATGTTTCCAACGTTTTGAAGAGCGCTTTTATTAGAAATACATCCTCTGTTTAATTTACAGGACAAAAGTAAGTCTCCAAAAATATTTCGTTAAGTCAGCCGGGAAGCGAAGCGATAAGTCCCAATCCCGTAATATCCTCCGCAGCACGGCCACGGGTGCTGTGATTCTCCTCTCACCTCCAGAAACTTTTGAAAAGTTTTCCTTTCCCAATGATTTCCAGCGTCTGGTATCACTCCGCCTCCTCCTCATCTCCCGTCACCTCCTCCTTCTTCACCTCTCTCTCTCTCTCTCTCTCGATCTCACTCTCTCCTTCCCGCACCTCCCCGCCCTCTTTCATATCAACACAGGCGCACAAACATTCATGCATCCAAGTATGACAATAGCTAACTTATGAAGTAAAAAATAAATAAATAAATAAATAAATAAATAAATAAATAAATAAATAAATAAATAAATAGAGAGAATCAGCTAAGCAAGAATTAAAAAAATGACTAATTACAAACCTCCAAAGCGGATGAAAAGTAAGACATATGGTTGTATTCATCACAAAAACACAATCGTGAATCACTGAAAGATTTAAGTCCTACACTTTTTGAGAGACTTTCCACAGGTATTTAAAAAATGCTAAACTATAACATAAAAACACTACATTTCTTTCTAACATTGCACTAAATGTGGAAAAAACACTCCCACACTGTTGTTTCTATAACATTGGGGCAGACTGGACTGTGTCCAACACTCTGTAAGCTTGTTTGTTTGTGTGTTTAGAGCTGATTAATTGCTGATAAGGGACTGAATTGTGTTTACATGGTAGCAGACAAGCAGTCTACAGGCAGCTCTGTTGTCCCCATGCCTAGTGTACTGAATCTGAGTCCTAATTTCTTAGTTCATCTCAAACTCAATTCAGCCAGCAGCCTCCAATGAACTCATTTTCTGCAGGCGGCACATAGTGCCTCAGTTGTTCTGCTGCACGGCGCAGAGCCTTTTGCTTTCAGAGACAATAGGCTTGATTTGAATCATAAAAGCAGTGCTGCATTATGACACAGTTTTGCTCTGCAGGGGAGGGTTGCACGCTAATATTCAAGTGCACTGCGTCTACGCCACCGTCTCCCCCTTTCTGTTACTCTATTCCTGGACTTGGCCTTGCATAAATTACAGGGAGAAGTTGGGCTATGAATGCAGCAGGCCGATTTGGAGACAGCTTCGTTAGTGCATGTGACGTCACCTACATGGGCTTGTTAGGCCTTGGAGACACCTGCTTCCTCTGGCACTCACAATGTGAAAAAGATTTAACAGAAAATGTTTTTGGTAGCTGCATTTAACAAATTATTTTGTCCTTTTGTCCTCTACTGTTATTTGAATAATACTGCAATAGAGAAGATCATTATGACAACTCAAGATGATGCAGTTCTTACTCAGATTAAGAGTTTTCAGCTGAGTAGCAGCAAGTACAAACAAGTTTTATAGAGAAGAGTGTAATTTTCTGTTACTGTTGCAAGTAAGTGTAAAAAGATGTGTGTTTTTTTTTTTTATCTGGTTGTGAAAATGTCTTTCACCCTGAGAGTTAGTTACTACATGGGCAAAACTCTGGCAAATGTCTTCAGTATTTTGTCTGGCTTCCAGTTGGAGGACATCCCATGGAGAGTGAGTTCATTACACTTGCCAGTCAGTTGCATTTTTAAAAATCTTGCTATTTGTACACAAATACTGCAAATGTGTCATGTGTCTACAAAAAAAAAAGAAACAAAAAATTGGTACACATCTCAAGGATTGCTTGAGCATTCACAAAATAAAGACCTACTAGGTGATAAAAAAAAAAAAAAAGAAAAAAAGAAAAAACAAAACAAAACAAAAAAACCAAGGAGCCAAAGTGGAAACTTCACTGGCATTCATTGGCATTCTCCAATTTCTCTTTAGCGCAATTCTATATCCGAAACTTCCCTTCCAGATATATGATCACTGTCATTGTTTAAAGAATGAAAGAGAACCTAACATATGATCGTGTCGATACTTCAGGACACCCAGTATTTTCTTTGCACCAATTATTTAGTTTTCCTACTAGCCCTGCAGTTTATATACACATAAAAACTCTGATTATGTAAGGATTTTGTCATTTTATTTAGTATGTGTCACACCCTTGGACAAACACACATAAATTGAACAAATAAGTTTGTGATTTGTTTGTTCTGGAGGGAACCTGTGAGAGTGAGAGTCTTGGTGACAAAGTTCTCACACAGGACTCCAGGGAAATCTCCGGTCACAAAAACAAAGAAGAGGCAGGCAAGAATTTATAACCCTCTTCTCTGTTGAAAACAGAGCTGCACTTCCCTTTGATCAATGCTTGTACTGTCCTTGGATGATAAACACAAAGAGGAAACAGCTATTCTAAATTTAACTCAGACATTTATTAGCAAAAAGCCTTTAATGTATCACCTCTTCATTGCGGTACTTCTCTGCATTTCTGGTTCCAGCTGTACCATACCCTACTGCGAGGCACGGAGATAATGTAAATGCTGCTACTCAAAACTGTAAATGAATGACTAAGGTTTGTGGTGTTAGGAATAAAAGTGGACCAATGCCCATTAAGGGAAGACCACCCATTGGTGAAAAGGAAAATTGTATGTATGTGCCACCATCGCAACTCTCAAGCCTGTATGGCCTTTTCAACAGCGGCCAAGTGTGTCTACATACATGAGGTACTTAGATCAACTCATGAGGTCATATGGTCAAATATTAATTAACATTACATATAGTTACATTTTATGCTAGCTTAAAAAGTATTTAAAAGTTCTTGTATCTCCCTTTTTGTTATAAGTACTACAAATAAAGATTGGCACCATCACCAATAAAAAATCAAGTTTGTCAAAACAGATTAACAGAAGTAGCATATAGATATTAATCACTGGGTGTAATACACGCAAAATACAGCTTTTTCATACACAAATCAAGAAGTGGCCATTACCCTCCCTTTGGGGTTGGTGGCCTTTAGAGCGAAAGTCCTCCAAGTGATATGGGCAGTAACTGGCCATGTGTGTGGACACAGTGGACGTGATGACTTTACCACCCAGGCCAGACTGATTTATGTGGGAAAAACCTGAGGAGCACCCACAGAGCGTGTGGAGAGGATTAGAGGGCCCTCTACAAAACGGGTCACGGCCAATCACCAGCCAAGACCCCCTACAGACAGACGTTGGGGCCAATTGAAGACCAGAATCCAGATAAGTTGTACGCTTTAAAGTTTGTAGTGTATTTTCAAATTTTAAAATTTCATGCCTGTTTATTTTAACATTTTTCCATTTACTTTTTTAATGTATTTATTCAGTTATTTTAAATATTTATATTTATATATATTGATAAAATTAAAAGGAAAAAGTAATTTACTATCACGTGAAATAAAATAAATATTTTAAGAGAGAAATGGGGGGTATAGCTTAAAACTTATTTTAAAATGTATGTCAGGACAATTTTAAAAACCATCTTTTTATTTATTTATTTATGTATTTATTTATTTATTTATTTATTTATTTATTTATTTATTTATTTATTTATTTATTTATTTATTTATTTATTCATTCATTCATTTATTTATTTTTACATGTCATGCCTTGGCATTGCAGGCATACCATATTGAGGAGCTGGTTTCCTACATGTGCCAGGACACTTTTAGTCTACAAAAAGGAAATCTGAAGAAGGCATCCTAATTGCTTCACTGATATTGATTCTGTTCACAAACAGAATTTTGAAGCAATCTGAGAAATGAATGTAAACTAAAAAAAAAAAATCAGGTTTTAAAACAACTTCAAGACAAAGAGCAGCAAAAATTCAAGAAATTACTTTTATAATACAGTGAAATTGTTACATTTTCTTTTTTCTTTTATTAATTTTACGATTTTAATTAAAAAAAACTAAATATTGTTTCAAACTGTGTAAATTAACAAATCGGTGGGAAAATTTATCTATAATTAATATAGAAGTTTCCATCTACTACTTCATTTACAAATTCAAAGCAAATATAAATAAAGCAAACAAAACAAATTACAACAAAAATAAAAGAAACTTGCTGTCACTGTTATTAATTGCACTGCTTATGTTTCCAGCTCTGACACCCTCAGATTTGTGAAGGAATGAGGACAGACTCTTGATGTTGTCTGCATGTTTGCGAACAGCCCAGCATCCCCCATTGAAGCTCACACCCAACTGCATCCCGGAGCGATAAGATTAGAACTCTTTGGTTCTGCTCTGTTAAAGACAAGTGACCATTTTCACAGTGGAAAAAAACACCTCTGCTTTTCCCAAGATTTTTTGAGAGTTGTTTGTGCAGCCAGCGTCCCACTGCTGTAAGTTTTTCCACACAGAAACACAGAACAAAGAAGGAGGTTATTGTACCAGTTGGCAGTCGTGTATTCATACAGTTTGTCATCTAAACCATTGCTTTTCTTTCTTAATGTTGTCCATTTTAAACAATTTCTGGACCTGGGTGGCTTTGTTGCATTGAACATGACATTTTTCTTACTCATACTTAACCTGTTATTCCACAACTGAATAATTTGTCATGAGGCACTCTGAAAAAACATTTCTGCAGCTTTGTTTGTATTCATACATTGTGTATCTTCAGTTACTATGAGTCTTTGGTTTCGTTTTTTCCTTCCACCCACTCTGACATACAGGGTAACTTAGAGACTGGCTTTTTTTTTTTGGCCCAAGAGTAAACATACAGGAATGATGGATCTTTCTTTGGATTGTGGGAAGAAGTGTTTGACTTTCACACAAGGTCTCTAAACGGCTATTAAATTGTGAATGTGTGCATAGGTCTTAGTTCTTCTAAAAACTGGGACAGACAGTAGAAAGAAAATATTTTTCACAGTACTCTTTTGTTTTTGTTTTTTTTTTACTACTCGTTTCATGCTAAATTGATGTCCGCCAAAAACACTCCAACATTTTGAGAGTTTATCGTGACCTCTCTAAACTACACACAGCCCTATACCCCCAAAAACCAGAACTATTTTTTTGGTGGACAGTGGATTCAGAGACAGGTTGCATGCATGTGTATCCAAACATGTGAGAGGCTGCAATCAATATCACTGTAAAGGAATGCAAATCGGAAAGAGCTGTAGGCTCAGCAGCTGGGGGAATTGAGAGCATTATGACTCTGCTTCCGTGTGAAATAGCTGCTTAAGACCACTATAAACAGCTGC